GTTTGTTGTCCGATGGTTTTCCGCTGGGGGTTGAGATCCCAACCTTCCACAGGACTGCTGGGAAGAACGGGGTCCATCACGTGAAGGTGAGGTAGGCTTGAGCAAGAGAGGCTAAAAGACATTAAGTCTGGTAAATACAGTCAACTCTGACCATACCATCCTATACTTTGTCATCTTGCCCATGAAGATTTCATGCAGCTCACATCATATCCTTCCTGTCTCTGTCTTTAAACTGTCTTCTGCTAATTCTTTCAGGTCTCTCTCTATCTCTTTAACCATATAAGGGGTTTCCACTGCGTGAAAATTCTAGTTAAATTATTATCAAGTTTTCTTTGTAGTTGGGGTGCATCTGCCAGATAGGCATGGAACCAGCAGTCTGCATACAAATAAGCCAGATCTGTAAAACGGATACATATGCAAAAATCAAGTTTTGGAACAAGACCAGACTTCATACGGGAACAAACAACCAGAGCTTATTGCTTGTTATGGGGCCAGTGGATCTGATGTTTGTTATGTAAATCAGTGTCCTGGAACCCACACAGGCAGATGTGTGATCTAAAAAGTAGCTGTTTTCTAAGTCACTGGGGCATATAGAAGAAAACACTATTGACAGTGAATACCTTTGTTTAGGAAACATTGTTAGCAGAGTCTAATTTATGTTATCTTGTAGTGTTATAAATCGTGACCTGGTTACATTTTAATTAACTCCTCTGCCAAAATGACCTTGGCTCCCAGGTCGACCCAGCCTTGAGTGGGTACCGGGCGCAGTCCCGGGAAAGTAAAGGCGGCCGGCATGATGCTGACCACATCACCCATCTTGTGCCGATTGGTCTATAAAAATATAGGTCTAGCCTTATATGCCCTATACGCCTAAAGGCGTGGAAAAAGGGTCCTTTACTTTACTTTACTTACCTCTGCCATTCTAAAGTCAGTTTGGCTGTATCCTGGTTCCCATACTTGTTTAGCAAACCAGACTCGTTTCTAGGTCTATTGTCGGTCTGGCACACCCAGCTAATTTCTGGACTCAATACTGGTTTGACACAAAGCTTATTTCTGGGCCCAATACTGGTTTGACACACACAAAGCTCATTTTTGGACCAAATAATGGCTTGACACACAAAGCTCATTTCTAGGCCCCATACTGGTTTGACATTCAGAGCTCATTTCTTGGCCTAGTACTGGTTTGACACACAAAGCTCATTTCTGGGCCTAATAGTGGTTTGACACACAAAGCTCATTTCTGGGCCTAGTACTGGTTTGACACTCAAAGCTCATTTCTTGGTCAGGTACCAGTCTGAAACACCTGGCTTATGTCCCGGGTCCTGTACCAGTCTGGCTCACATAGTTAAAAAAAAATTTAATCTGAATACCAGTGCCCGAGACATAACTCTTTAATTTCAGAGCCAGTAATTGTAGGCAGTAAGGAGAAGCTTGCAAGGAACATCATGAAAAATATATTTTTAAAAATTAATATATATCCATATATGGTTGTCCAGTGAGTTTCCAAACAGGAAAAAATAAACATTTCCTTTATAAAACCATTGTTATTTATATAATATGCTCTGCATGACTACCTTTGTTTTGGACACACACTTTGATGTATGGTCTCCACTGCTGAAGAATATGTATGAGCCCAACTGGAGTTATGCTTGTAATGACATGTGATATGGTTATTTTTCCTTTAAATAGAAACTTCCCCACATGGAGGGAATACCTTCTGCTGCTATACCATACACGGCATATACAAAAAGAAGAGATGGATATAGACCAAGAACAAGTTGGGAAGATAACATCAGAGAAACTCTTCAACACCATGATGTGTCTATGATCGAAGCAGCCAGAAGAGCGCGAAGCAGGACCTTATGTCTTTCTCAACACCTGAAGTGGTAAAAGAGGACATAAAGAAGAGAAACTAATGGGACACCCTGTAGATAAGAGAAATTAGAAGTGCACAGTCAGTATTGTTTGGACATGTTTTGAGAAGGAATAAACTCAAAAACTTGGTTGACAGTTGACAAAATTGATGGAAACAGAGCAAAAGGAAGTCGGAGAGATAAACATCTAGATATGTTCAGGCACATGGATAGCACGAGAGACTACCACCAGAAAGGACATCGCAGAGAGCCTTATCACCTAAACATAATGGAGGCAGAACAAGAGGTCGACCACACAAGCGGTGGATAAATGGAATATCCAAACCTGTAAACACCAGCATTTATGTAGCACACAACAAAGCTTGCGCTCGATGCTTTTTAAAACCTGACACTGAAAGGCAGAACAGGACTAGAAAAGAAGTAATTCCTGTTGCAATTATTATGGACTATATACACGGACAGACTGAGAAACTTGTAGCTGAGTTGAGCGAAGAACTAACATCACAGCACTTCGGACATTCCCAGAAGCACTCCATCTTCAACAGCCAGTATAGAGTTCTGATTTCGATGCTACCAGTAGCAGTATAATTGTGAAAGGTCTGTCTTGCCTTTCTTCTTGAGTGTTGCGAGTCGGCCAGATCCCCTGGTCACTCCTTGCTGCACTATTCTCTTCATGCTGTGATGATCTGCTTGTGCTTCAGCCCTGTTCACTTGCTCTAAAAAGGGCTTGACCAGTGAAACACTTAATAGCCGTAAAAGTGCTTTCTGAGAAAATGCAAAGAATACCAAGAAAGGACAGAGAAATGAGGGAACACTGTAAACTGAGAAATTATATTTTGACAGTCAAATTGTTGGGCTTGTTAGGATACTTAACTTCAAAATTTGGTGACAACCAGCAAAATTGGTAGAAAAATTAAAAGGGGAAGTCAAAGAGATAAAGACCTGTATAGCAGGACCACAGGGAGCACAGAACTACTACTACTACTTTGTTCACTGGCTGTGAGCTTCAGCAGAAACTCCTGGTTATTTGGAGTTTAGCTTTGTGCCAGGGCCTGAGTGTTGCATGTATGTACATTCATTTTACTGGCTTATTTGTGTGCAAGTTGGTTGTTCCATGCCGCTCGGGCAGATGCACTGCGACTTTGAAGCAAGCTCCCAATTAGATGCCTCTTACTATATGCTTTATTGGGTAGGCAGTGGGTCAATTCTTGTTTTCCCCACAATGGGACCCCGGAACTCACATCAGGAGAGCACAGAACTGATCTGAGGAAATTTCCATTGTATGAGATGGTCACTGCCCTTCTTGAATCTGTTTATATGTAAGTGACCCTATGAGTGTAAGTACATTCATCATCATGATGCAGCAGGTCATTTGCAGAACGTAGCTGTCATCACGACCTGCCTGAAGGAAACTCAGTCTCTCCTGCCTCATGCACTTTCGTATTCAAGAAGTCACTTAAATCCATCTTTGTGCTTTCTGCTGTTATTTTTTCCAATCCGCCATGGCACTGGATATGACCAAAATATGTCATCTTCCGAGACAAGATGCTGTTTGTATTATGAGTATGTATGTATGAGTGAACATTTGTATTGTATGCATGAGTGTGGGTGCATGTATGCGTTTGTGAGAGTATATGTATGAATATATGTATGTATGTAGGTACGCATGAGTTCTTGTCTCTATGTATGTATGTGTCTATATATGTGTGTATGTGTTTATAATTATGGGTGAATGTGCATATATTATTGTGCGTATATATGAGTGTGTGAGTGAGGTTTTGTGAGTGTCCAGTGTGAGTGTTTATGTATATGTAAGTAGGAATGTGTTTATATGAGTGAGTGAGTGAGTGTATACTCTGTAGTCTGTACATGTATGAGGGTATGTATATGTAGAAATGTAAGTAAATGAGTGTGTAAATGCATGAATGTTTGTTAGGTGTGTATGCATATGTGTGTATGATACAAAGTGTGTTAATGTGTGGGTATATGTATATAATGTAAGTGCATTTATAATATATGATTGTGATCTGTATGAATGCATCTGTTTTATGTGTGTACTCACATATATGAATATGGGTACACACATGTGTATGTGTGCAATGCAGTCCATGGCATTTTGTTCCCAGAAATTGACCTTACTATATGTATCATTCATGCCTAGCATGCATACATCTATATATCTTCTTTTTCCATTTGGACTGAGGCTTTGTGCGAGGGCCTGAGTTTTGCATGTACATCCATTTTACTGGCTGTGCATAGCTGCTTGTTCCTTGTCACTCAGGCAGATGCACTCTGACTTTGCAGAAAGCCCCACTCCCCCCCCCCCCCCCCAATTAGTTGACTCCTAAAGATTAAAGTTGTCCCCACAATGGGGCCCTAAAACCAATATGAGGAACATTTTTATATAATGGTAGAGGCCGGTCTTTAATTTGCATTCTTAAAGTGTGACCCAGCCGCCTATTATGCTGAAACAATCAGTGTCGACATCTCATGTTATCACAATCGACGTCACTGCACATTGAGCATCCCTATGCATGCTTAGTCCTCTGATGCAGCAGCCACTCCAAGGTACTTCTACTAACTGTTCCCATGAGAAGCTCGTTATATTGTCTCCTGTCTTGGCCCTGAGGATGGCACAAACATGCTTCACCATGCCTTCCTCCCATATCACGTAATCATGTCAGTGTCCGATGTTTCTCATTGTCCACTTGCTTGCTGTACCCCACCAGGACATCACACAAGTGATAAATACCCAGCAACACAAAGTGCCACCATGCGGATGAGTATCACCCATGGAGAGGTCCCAGAAACCCCTTTCAGCTGTTTTGGCCACATTTGTGGCCCAGCTATATTCAGGGTCCCCCGCAAAATCTAGAAAGGGGCTTCAAATGACATAAATTGCATCCCACAAGGTAGTAGTAGTAGTACATTTTACCCCACTAGGACATCACACAAGCCATAAGCACCTGATGGCAGGAGGTGCCACCATGCTCCCGCATCTACCTCCCTATCTACTTTTATCCCACCAGGACATCACACAAGCGATAAACACCCGATGAGGATGAGGATCGCCGTGAAGAGGTCACAAAAACCGTGTTTAGCCATTAGACCAAATTTATGGCCAGGCTATATTGCGGCCCCTGGCAAGAACCAGAGTAGGGCTTCAAATAGCAAAGAAATTTTTTTTTTCACTGGGCCGCAGAATCTGTTAGGCATGTATTGTAAATCGTTCATTATATACACAAGTGAATCCAGGACAAGGCTAAGCAATGGAATTGCGTTGGAGGCAATTCGAGGCCAGAGGTCAGCACATTCTTTAGCAACAGGCCCCGTGATAGCTGATCCCTTCATCTCTCCTTTAGGGTTGACTATCACCCCTTCATTGTCCTGAAAGTAAAGGAACAGCCCGTCTTTTTTTCGTAATGGTTTCCTCTGACGTATGACCACTGCTGGCATTACTTTTTTTTCGGAGTTCTGGTTTTCCCATTTTGACGGTGGCCACAAACATGTACCCAATGCCAGCTGCTGGCAGCCGGTTGAGACGACCCTTGATGCCGTGGACAGCAGCAATAACAACTAAGTTCTTAGCTCCTGTGTTGTCAGCACAGTTGATAACTGCCCCCATTGGATGACCCAGGGAGATGCGGGATTTGCCTCTGGCGGAACCACCTCTTCCTCTCTTAGACATTTTGTTTTAGAAAAAAATTGCATCCTAAATAATATGGAAAGGCGGGTAGGCACATATTTCTGCCCCCAACGGACTTTCTACCCCACAAGGACATCACACAAGCGATAAACACCCAATGACACAAAGTGCCACCATGTGGATGAGGATCACCGTGGAGAGGTTCCAGAAACCACGTTCAGACAATTGGCCATATTGATGGCCTGCCTATATTGCAGCCCCTGGCAAAAGCCAGAGTGGGGCTTCAAATAACAAAAAAATTACCTTTTTTTTTCAATAAGTTTATTTGTCTGTAAAAACGTCTGTATACAATAAATGCGTGTCAACTGTATTGTACGTGTTATATTCACAAGCGTCTGCGGTGTGCGTATTTTTGTGCAGTAATATTTACAGAGCGTTGCTTCGTGTTTGTATTTATGTTGCATGTGTATGCGTGACTCTGCGAACATATAAACAAAAGAGGCAAGAGGGAACACGAAAACATAGCAGGCGGACAGGGCGGGGAACGGTTGAGAGGGAGGAGACGGACAAGATAGACAGGGCCACTCATTTTTTCTATATTGCCTTTCGGTTAGCATCAAATGTTGTGAAAGGGTGAAACATTTGATATTTGGATTGGATTTTTACCCCACCAGGACATCACACAAGCGATAAACACCCGATGACACAAAGTGCCACCATGCGGATGAGGATCACCGTGGAGAGGTCCCAGAAACCGCGTTCAGACATTTGGCCATAATGATGACCTGCCTATATTGCGGCCCCTGGCAAAAGCCAGAGTGGAGCTTCAAATAAAAAATTACGTCCTAAGAAGGACGAAGTTTACGAGTTTATGTAGGAGGGAGGGGACACAAAAAGGACTTTACGAAACTGTATACTAACACCAGAGAACAGGAAAGGACACAACCACACAGCAGGCGGACAGGGGCGGGAAAGGGATGAGGTGCCGGAAAGGAAGATAGACAGGGCCACTCATTTTATTAACATTTTAGCTTCAAATTTTCCAACATTTGTAACAGTGATATTTGGATAATTGCTTCAAATATTTACATTTATTGCCGAATGGGGAAGGGGGCACAAAAAAGGACTTTACGAACATCGCATCCAAAATTAAACAAACTTTCGAACATATCAATTTTTCCATTGGAGAGCAAAGTGGGTGAGGAAAAGGGGGAGGGCGCACACAAAAAAAGACTCTCAAACATATAAAACAAACAAAAGAGAAGAGAAGAGAGGGCCTAAGGAATAGAGTTATTGTTAATGCTGCCCCCAAGTGGACGACTGCTATATTTATTATTTACTAGCGCAGTCCGTACAGTGTTAATAATATCTGCTACCTCATGTTATATGCTGCAAGATTTTATTACGCTGTGTTATTTTCCTTGATTTCTTCTTTCTCTTTGGATATTAAATTGTTTCTCTAGGTTTCAGGTCTCTTCTAATAATCAGTTATATCGCTTATTCTCATGTGTCTCTTTTGCTAAGGAGTTGTTTCCCTTGGTTTAAGATATTTCAGTAATCCTTGTTTCTGTTAGTCCCGTGTTTCTCTTTTGATAATTAGGTAATGAATTGGAAAGTTTTATTTTTCTATTTAATAAGTAAGTATGTCTTTTATATGATTCTGTTTTGATAATAGATTATTTCTTTGATAATAGATTATTTCTTGGTTTCAGGTTTCTCTGTTGACTGTTATCTTGGAACAAGCAGACAAAGATCATGGTACAGCAGCACAGACCAGCTCAGACAAAGACTTAAGTAAAAGCAAGCAAGTCTTCAGTGTCTCAGCATGTGCACAGAAGGTGGTGGAGGCAGTAGCTGGGCTTATTAGTGCAGGAGAGAGACAGAGTCAGGCAGTCAAAGATGAGGTGTGGAAAGAGATGTTTTGTATTCTCCTTCTTGTGTTCGCACTTGATTGAAGCAGACACTTGGCACATTGTATTGTGATTTAGAGAAAAGCTGCACTATCTGTGCCTTTTGACCTAACCCAGGGCTATTCAACTGGCTGCCTGCGGGCCAAAACTGGCCTGTGAAGACCTAACAAGTGGCCAGCAGATCACCTGCCAGTTGTATGGCATTTACACTCTTTCTTTGTTGGGGCTGAGCAAATTTCCCAAATATCGACCCCTGAGTAAACTTAGTCGAATAGCCCTGACCTACCCCATCTACCCGTCATTAAATCTCTAAATAGTTGCTGTTTATGACATGCTTGTTAGAGGTAGTGTGTTTTTTTTCTCACAAAAACCAACCAACCATGGATAAGTCAAAAAGAGAAGCAAATAAACTCCAGCCAACCAAGATGAGGGGAGGCTCTTCAAATAGAAGAAGTATGACACGGTGTGGAGAAAGCCGTAAGGAGTCCGGATCGTTGACTTACCTCCTCTCAGCTAGGAAAACCTCCAGAATTGGCACCTGGAATGTTAGAACTCTCTATGATATAGGGAGAACAATGGAAGTAGCAAAGGAAATAGAACAGCATAACTAGAATGTCTTTGCATTGGAACCCACAGGGGCATAGGAATAAAGGAAGGCCAAAAAACACATGGAGAAGAGAGCTGGAGAATGAGGTTAGAAAGATTGGGAGGACATGGGGAGAGCTCCATGTAATGGCGAAGGATAGAACGACTTGGCGTGAGTTGGTTGAGGGCCTATGCTCCATTGGGGGATAAAAAGGCAGAAGAAGAAGAAGAAGAAGATGAGGATGTTTTGCTAAAAGATGTGGGTCGACTACATGGTTGTTGGGTGAGGTTTGTATCTTATATTTTATAGGACTTGAGTTTTAGTCCCCTGTAAGGCTTCAGGATTTCTTATCTGTACAATGTGACCTGATTAGGTGCAACAAAAGTGCAGCCGGATGTACCAGTCACATACCACCAAAAGAAAAGAATCACTAAATCAATCAGGAAACCACCAGCTCCAGCACAAGACGACTATTTTATTATGGATAGATCAGAATAAGTCATTATCCTCCGCCTCAGAACAGGGCACAACCGATTACGTGACCACATGTACTCAAAATTCAAGATAGGTGTATCAGCCATGTGCACCTGTAGAAAGGTGCCCCAGACAGCAGAGCATGTACTCCAGGACTGCACCAAATTTGACACATTAAGGAAAACATTTTGGCCAGAAAGAATAACAGTGGAACGTAAACTCTATGGACCACTGAATGAATTAACAACAACAGTGAAACTTATACAAGAGACAAAATTGCTGATATAGACACCTTATTTCAGGCAAACGAAAGAAGAAGAAGAAGAAGTGACCTGATTTTCTGGATCTTAGTCAAAGTATACAACTTTAGGTTAGTTAATTTGTAACTGTTGTTGGCACTGCTATAGAGAGATCCACCAGGGTCCGGTTTTGACGAGAAAAAAATAGTGGGTCGACAAAAAAAATAGAACTGTAAAATATATGAAATGCCAAACGCAAGTTCAGGAACAAGGCCAAAGCCTGGAAGTGGACGAGCAACAATTTTCCACTGGAGTTTACAGCCGGTGAATGCTAACATGCTGAAGAAGAAAGTGCCCATTTGTGTGGTCATTAAAGTCCTGGACCTGCAGGTTGCTTCCTGCTGATCTCTCTAAGGCACAACCCATGACGAATGGAAAGCTGAACTTACAGATGTGAGGTTAGCAGTCTTGTGCAGGACGTAAGGATTTCTTGGGTGAGCCCAAGGCTAGAGATTCATTTGTTGGTTCTGCATTTATGGAAGCCTCCTCTTATGGTGTTGAATGCCCATGATCAGCCATTGCCTTCCCTTGACGACCGACCAGTCTACACAAAGTTGAGTTCTCCAAGTGCAAACCTGTAGATTATGGGACAGAGAGAACACCACACAAATAAGACCACATCATGTGCCTCGAAACCAAAAGGGAAGGCTAACCCAGTAAAGAAATGCCTGTGGAAGTTGGATATGTCAGCTGAAAGGCACAAATATCGCAGCTTTGCTGTAAACAGGGACAGCACAATTACATCAGCAGACCAATGAAAAAGAATAATAATAAGAAGACATCTGAAATATGGTATTTTGAATAACTTGGTGTCAATCTTTCAGGCTGCAATTCCAGAGGGGGAAATAAAACACATCCTGGATGCTCTTCTAGCAGACCTTCAGTGATGTCAATGTTGCATAATAGCACATGATCAAGAACAGAGAAAAGGCAGATAGAGTGAGACAGTCATCGCTACCTGGTCTGGCAATCCAAAAATTAAAGGGAACATAATAAAATAACAAATCATGAAAACAATTGTTGTATATATGGGACTAAATAGATTATTGAAAATAATGTTAAAGTGTAAGAGGTGTGGTTTTTTTTTTAAAATAAAAGAATTTATGTCACGACCTACCCATATCGGACAGTGGGTTGCTTCCTAACCATATGGTGCCGCAGTATAATTGGTTTATATGGAAGAGCAGGGTTCCTGGAATCAACTTCTGTTTGCTTTGCATCCTGAGAGTGGCTCTTTGAGTCACTGTGTGTCAGTCATTTATGTTGCAAAACAGAAGGGAAACATTAAATTGTTTGTTATTTTTGTGTGTGTTGTTTTTGTTATAGAAAAACGATGTGAACACCAAAAACAGAAAAAAAATGAAATGATGGCGTCTTGAATGAAATTTATTCATAAAGATAATTGATTACACTACCTACATCAGAAGAACACTGTCTAAATTGTTTGTAATCTGTGGTAATTTTTTTTTCAAGTATTGTCCCTTCCAGATTTGCATTTGCAAATGCCAGAAATCCTGTTCAACCGTATAGCCGTATGGCACAGTTATTTTGGGGCACCAAAAAATGGTTACGAAGTAACTTGTAGTCCACTGTGGGTTTTAGTATATTTCTAATGATATATGGTTATTAATATTGACTGACATTCAACTCCACTAGGGCCACACACACGAACAATAAACACCAGGTGACACAAAGTGACACCATACGAAGGAGAATCACCTGGGCAACAGTCCCAGAAAACCTTCAACGATTAGGTTAAATTACCTTCCATGT